TTTTTTTACTTACAGGAACAAGGCACCGGCACATATTGGCATAAGCCACACTGAATGCAGCTTCATCAATAGCCTGCAACAACAACAAAAATGTCACTTGAAAACTGTATCCACAGCAAGACAGCTTAAACACTCAAACCTGATCCAAAACCACCCAATTCGCGGAATACGACTTGTGATTCCATTGGGTTTCAATACCGTATAATTAATCAAGTAATTTGGATACAACTACAAGAATGCTGCAAGATTTGTGAAAATTAGCTCCTGACCAAGCTTCACTGGGATAACTAATTGTTAAAAAGAAAGAGAAAAATGGATTGAAATCAGGTAGTTGTAGCCAAATGGCATAATTTGAAAATGCCATAATCAGGGGCTTCAATAAAAATTGAAGTAGCCAGCAGTTTGGATAGAGTAACCGACTGTATCAACAAGGGGCCGTTGGTCTCCTTTTCTGGGGGAATCAAAGCGCATTCCGCCCCAAAAGATTTTGAAATTTCAAAGCCCTAGAAATGCGATTTTCAGCGTTCTGGGGACTAAATTCGAGGACAAAAGAGCGTGTTTTTCATTCAAGAAAATGTCGATTTCCATTTATCAGTCACACAATCAATTCCTACGAGCAATGAACAACCATCATGAAAACTAAATTACGTACTTTTGCACGTAAACAAATTCTGCGTAAACCTATGAAGAAACTTTTGAAAAAATGACTGAAATATAGCGTTCACATGACTAAAGCATAAGGTAAAACCAGTGGGCCTTTGGGAAAACAAATATCATAATTACTACGTTTTCATTCAGATTTTATGATATATTTTTTGTTTAAACCATTATTCAAACTAGTTGCTTCTTTTTTCTGTAAAAAGTAGCAGACCTCTATGAGCTGAGGAGCCAACGTGTTTCATCGGCCGTCAGTGCTTATTGAAACCCCTGCATAATGTGCAGCACAAAGAAATTATCCAATGTCCAGTTTGACAGTATGAACCCACCATTTGCAGCAGGGGCTGTCTCAGGTTTCACAAAATTACAATAGGTGATAGGACTCAATCAATGTCCCCAACCCTAAATATCAACAGAAGATGCATGTCATAGGGACTTATGAAAAAAGGAAAGAGGAAGAGCTACACATACGAGCTGACCATTCTCAATAGATCTTTTCCCTGACCCTACTGCATGAGTACTCCTGACAGAAATACAACTCCTTGGTGTTGGACTTTGGATATGTTCTGGAACTGCACAAAGAGTCACAGACAGAAATTATTAACAAGAGGAGTTTCTAGAATCAATTCCAGAACTTGACTTCAGACTTTAAAGCATACATTTAAACTATTTCCCTCAAAAGAGTACTCTGGCACCCATGCATGCACATGCTGAACAACTTTTTGAGTCTTAAGATATTTTCATGTCCATGCTGTGTTTATTCCCCTGGTACAAACCTTTTCAAAAATTAGGTCAATGGCACCTTCCAATCTCTCTGGAGTGTCAATATCCAGGTCAATAATCTGCTGGGTCAAAGTCTGGAACTTCTGAGGTGTCAGTTTGTTCAGAATACTTCTAACTTTGCGGAACAACTCCTAGTAAAAATGACAAAGATTGAGTAGCTGTATACTCTGCTAGAGTCCCAAGACACATTCTACATCATAAGATTTCAAGATAAAAATTACCTCTGTTTTCTGTTCCTCTTCACTTCCAGTTTTAGCAATTTCACCTTGTCTCACCCATCTGTTTTCAGTTCTCCTCAACTATTCACATCAAAGAATTCAGTATTAATCACTGTTTAAGTATTTGAAAACTGTGCGAATAAATAAATAAAAAACCTCTTTAATTCCCAAACACCCACATACATACACCCACCCACATATCATACATAGACTTGTATGTGACTTACTATTCAATACCATGAAAGACAATTAAGGCACTCCACCATTATTACAATTCTCTCGGCACGCTGCCTTTACATTGAGGAATAGACCTTGACACGGTTTTCGACGCCATCTTGATGAGTATGAGAATCCAATGTCGAATAGTTTCAAATAAAACGGCTGTTCTGAAAAAAATATGAATTGTAAACTAAAGCTAAACAGCAAAGGATTCTACTAACAAATTTTGGGGGCCAGGACTGTGCTTAAATTTCTCCAGATGCTTGCTTTACATTTTCCATATTTGTCTGCAATTTTTCCCGGGAAATTTTTACAGACAAATGTATAAAAAAAAATTTAAAAAAAGGTTTTACCTGGTCTTCTAGCACATGAAATAGTAGAATATATCCTTAAGAGTGAAGCTTTAGTTTACAATTCATATTTTTTTCAAAACAGCCATGTTACGGAAATTATTCGACATTAGATTCCCATACAAACACTGGCAATAATTTCTCACGCATTTGCCTACTCGTCAAGATGGCATCGAAAACCGTGACAAGGTCTATTACTGGATATTTACCTCAACTTGAGGTTGTACACTTGGAAAATCAGTCACTTTCTTGGGCTGAGTATTCATTTTGCATCCACCTCTTGAACCAGACTGGTTATTCTATAATGAAATAGAATGTTTTAGTTTGGGCCTCTAAACAAAGTTAACAAGGTGGAATATATATAAAATACTGAGTTTGTAAATTGTATTGCTGATAAAAGGAAGGGGGCTACTTTGTTTTATTGCTTTGTGGTTCTCATTTCATTTCAAGTGCCATTACCAACAAATCTAGTCTTGGTTAAGTATTGAGGTAAGTAACAGTGACAGCATCTTACTCAGCAGTCACCAGAACACCGACTGATATGCAATACAATATATGTTAAGGATTAACAACAAATTTATACAAAGAGACACAGGGAAGCTAAATGAAGTAACTTAAGATGGACACCCAAAATCAAAAAAATCTTCATTCACAGGGTCAAAAAGAAGGGTTGACTTATAAATACACCCGTTCAACTTGTACAGTGGAAAATAAGGTAGCTAGGACTGAGAATATTTTTTTTCAAAAAATGTGTTTTTAAAAATATTGAGCAACATGGCCCTCACTGATTTAGACCTCAGTGTACAATTTAGTTTTAATAAATTATGTTTTAAATAGTCATCCTTTTGAATTTGAGATTGCGACCTTTTGCTACCATCTCTTGCATTATAAAACTCTATCCAATGTAAGCAAGCAAATTTCAGAGGGGACTGAAGCAAGTATTTCACACAATATTGTACTCCCATAACAAAAGCAACTTATTACTCTTGACTGCTGGTGCATAAATGAAGGGAGGAACATGTTTTCACCCCCATCAGATTTTTGTATCCTACAACAAAAAAGTTCATATCACAAAATTCTCAAAATTTATTGGCACTTTATCTCATAATAATTAACTTTGTTAAGCTTACTTTCAAGTGATTTATGAACAGTTGGAAAAACAGCAAACTGAATAAAATATCTGATTTTACTGAAATACCTGTTTTGTGAAAAGCCCGACTTAGACGGGGTTAGGGCTTGACCAAGGACAACTTCTAAATCAGGTCGCCCCTCTGGTTTTATCTGGCATAAAGGATTGGTCTGGAAATCTCGCTCATATGTGAGCTTAATTTCCTCCTTATTGGCGCGATGTGTTTCAGTTTGGCCCCATCAAGTTCAGGGGACCAAGATTCCGAGGGAAAGAAACAAAAATGTAGTAATCCAGGCGTAGTCAATCGATAGAAATCGAGATCAAAAATCAATCGATACACTCGATATCAATCGATATCAATTGCCGATTGCTATTGATTGATATCGGGGATCAATAACAATCGAACTCACAGAAAAAAAATTATCGATTTTTATCGATCGGCAAAAATCAATAACAATCGATAATAGATAATTATCAATAACAGTCGATAATCCAAAAGAGTATTTATTTCCTCTTCTTCTTCCTGTATTATAACTGTGCTGAAGCTGAAGATTGATAAAAAGACCAAACGTTCCTGTTATTGTTTTTGTTCCTAATTAGTATTTTGTTGAGAATTGTAAACCTATTGCATGCTAAAATGATTGAATGACTCAATAAAACCATACAGACCACATTGTGTCGATGATTAACTTGTAAAACGATAACAATCTTTTTTGATAACAATTTATAATAATCAATAACATTCAATAAATCAATCGTTATCGCTTTCTATCGGAAATCGATATCAATCGAACTCACAACTTAATTTCTTTATTGATTTCTATCGGAAATCCATATCAATCTTCGATTGTCATCGATTGCTATCGATTGACTACGCCTGGAGTAATCAAGAAAGCCCAGAATTTATTATAATAATCTCCCCAACTCCACTAACCCCTTTAGACCCTACTATAAACATGCACGTTCTTCAAGTAACTTTTCATAAAGTTCAAGGAGCATTTATAATGAGAATTTCCTATTATAAAGATAGCAAGGCAGGGAATGGTAAATCCACTTGCGCAGTGGGCGAGTACACTTCTGCTCTCACTCGCCCCCTCTTAAAGACTACTTATTGCCCAAAGGGAATACATCTATAGTTGATAATAAGTTATAGGTTATAACAAAATGTAATCAGGAATCCATATTCCCAGTCGTCCGGTCGTCCCTGACGACTTCAATCTCGCACAGACAACCAAGATATTCCAAAAGTCATCGACCTTTGGACAAGGGAGCTCTTGCTCAACCACAAAATCTGTTCAAAAATTCTGATGTGATTTTATCATGTGCATTTTACCTGTGCTCTGATTAGTTCTCATTCACTGAAAAACTTTGAGAATATAATACTGAGTGGAGAATAACCCACAACTACTTGTTACTTCACCGGCGGAGAGCAAAGGAAAGGATTCACGACGCTACCAAAGTTGTTCTTTTGGACGAGATTAATAGAAAGTCTGGAGGTTTCCGGCTTTATTCGGCTAATTGACGAAGTGAGAGCCGAATGACTTCGAGATATCTCGAGATCAGTTCGACTTCTTAATTTAATATGTTTTTTTTTTCGGTTAGTATATCATGTAAGACTCCATAATATGTCCCCAATATATATAT